GGCAATGAAAGATTACACAAAGAACGTAAACAGAACATCTGGACATTCGAGTGTTTGCCAAAAGAATTACAAAACTTAAGGTATTTACATTATTTTTAAAGCAGCAACTCTGAAGGTCTTAATACCCTTTAATTTCGGTTTACCCAATTTATAAATATAACATAAAATTAAAATTAAGTTAAGAATTAAGAAGTACAAAGTAGAATCGGCAAAATAAATACTTTTTAAATAACTGTTAGCTTTCATACATAAATGTATACAAAACTGAAACATTATTGAGCTTAATAATAGAATGCAGCTATTTTATTTCTAGTTTCTTCCACTTAAACTCATTTCCTGCATTTCATATTATAATTTCATTGAAACCAATTTACATGCAGATTCTTTTTGGAACGATGCCTCTTAATCTACTCAGTAGACATTCTCTTTTAGGTACAATACATTCAACAAAGTGGAATACAAATATTGGCTACATGGGCTTCTTTCTTTTTTTGCCAAAACGAGAATAAATTCGATAAAGAAGAAGCGGCATAAGTAGGGTTGACATATTCAGGTTAAAGAGATGCGACTAAAGCCCACTTTTGATCTCATTTGCTTTGCAAAGAACGGCTAAAACATTCTGATTCACTTTCATGCGCGGAACCATCTCTGATTGTGCGGGCCCAAAAAAAAAAGCAGCTAACAGAAGTGGCCAGAAGGAAATGCAACAACAAAAAAAAGAGCTCGGAAGATTTTATTTGCTTAACCAACGCTGTGAATATTTAATTTGCGCACTCACACGCCGGAATATACATACGTATAGAGGACTTAACGACACTGGTGACCCAGATTTTCGGGGCAAGCTTAAGCTTAAAAGCTACAACGCTAATAAGAACAGCAATGCCGCCGCCATTACCCATACAAACACACACATAAAAATACAACAACGATTGAAAAAAAAAACACTCAAACGCCAAAAGCATTGTTGTTGTGTTCTTCTTTTTTTATTTGTGCGTGCTGAGGAAAGATACTCACTAATTAACCCAAAGCCAAAGTCAGAGCCAAAAGAATCAACCAAAAACCCATTTGCAAATTGTGTCCGAAAGAGATAGACACACACGAAATGAAAGAGACAGCAGAGGGCAAAAAGAAAGAGGTAGAAGCAGAGATTGGAGACCATTGGGAGAAGTGAAAAAGAGGAGGTAACACCCAAATATAAATTATGCTTAGGAAACCCGAAAAAAATGGTAGAAGTTTGGTGTGTGTTCGTAAGTTGGCCAAGACAAATTCATATGACATCATATCGGAGGCTTATTGTTGGCTTACAAAAAAAATAGCTTAAAGAATACAATACCAAGAAATTATAATTTGATGTACGAATTTTTACTCTTCTTAGAAATTATTAAGTCTCGAAATCAAGCACAGGATGTGAGTTAAAATGAAATTAGCTAATTGAAAATAAATAGAGCAGGGCTTCATTTTATTGCTACTTTATATACTGACGATTTCAGACAACTTTTTGTTTAATTTAAAATGTAATGAATTAAATTAAGAAAAATGTTTTACAATCAAAACTATTTTAATGCTAAAATTAAATTATAAGTATTTATAAAACTTACGGAATAGAATTACTTTAACTAAATCTTAAGCATTCTATTTTTTAAAACACTTATAAGAACTATTTTTAAAAATGAGGTCACCTGAATTGTATATTTTTTCATTTTATTTTCTCTATAGTATAAAGTTGATTTTAGGTTTTAGTATACCTCATAAAATATATTAATGAATGGATATTTGTTTGCAGCATCAAGATCTGGTTAATTAGCAATTTTTAACTTCCTTTCGATTGTGATGGAATGACTCAACGCGGGAAAAACCCTTCGGCACCTGCATACCCCTTTCTTTCTTTGCATTTCTGATTTCACAACACCTACAATAACTTTGGGCGCCCACACCCACCGAAATCCCGCACACACACACGTGCATATTTGGAGCCATTTATTGTTCAACATTGTTAAGTAACCATCATCATCCGAGTTTTTTTCCGTTTTTTCTTATAATGTTTACATTTGGCGCTTTGGCCCAAATATTCTGAAAAAAAGCTGACAGCGGTTCCCAACTTGAATCCAAATGTGGGAGTGGAAGTGGGATGGCGAGTGCTGCGGGCCGTGTCTTTCTTTGTATTTTTTCTTTTTCGGCTGGCTTACAGTAATCATTGTCATGCAGGCGATTCTGCTTCATTATTTCGCCTGCCGTACCCACGCTTCTCCCCATCCCCTCTTTTTTCCCCACTTGATAGCTATCGTAATGAGCTTTAAGTTAAGGTTCTGATCATCATCTCATGATGGGTTTTTTTGTTAAGTTTTTTTTGGGAACGAGATGAAGATGCTGCTGGCGCATCGCCATCGTCATTTGTTGGTCACGCTGAGACTTTTGTTTTAAATTAACTTGGAATCCGCTAGGTCCATTGATTTTTGTATACATTTTGCAGAAATCAAATGCGATAAAATAATATTGTTAGAAATTATTTTAAAAACAAGAAAGGAAAGCTAACTTCGGGCGGAGCCGAAGTTGAAATACCCTTGCAGAATATTCTGCAAATTATATTCTCCAAAATCATTCATAATGCATTCTTAATACTCATAAAAAATCCCAATTTCCTAACTTTAAAAACACTAAAGTTATGGCATTTCCAATCGTTCAGTTATATGGCAGTTATAGAATATAGTCGGCCGATCCTTATGAAATTTGATATGTCGGATTGATTAGGCAAAAATAAAACCCATAGAAAATCCCAACTTCCTAACTTAACAAACACCAAAGTTATGGCATTTCCGATCAATCAGTTATATGGCAGCTATAAGATATAGTCGGCCGATCCTTATGAAATTTGGTACGTCTGATTGATTGGCCAAATATAAAACCCATAGAAAATCCCAACTTCCTAACTTTACAAACACCAAAGTTATGGCATTTCCGATCAATCAGTTATATGGCAGCTATAAGATATAGTCGGCCGATCCTTATGAAATTTGGTACGTCGGATTGATTGGCCAAATATAAAACCCATAGAAAATCCCAACTTCCTAACTTTACAAACACCAAAGTTATGGCATTTCCGATCAATCAGTTATATGGCAGCTATAAGATATAGTCGGCCGATCCTTATGAAATTTGGTACGTCGGATTGATTGGCCAAATATAAAACCCATAGAAAATCCCAACTTCCTAACTTTACAAACACCAAAGTTATGGCATTTCCGATCAATCAGTTATATGGCAGCTATAAGATATAGTCGGCCGATCCTTATGAAATTTGGTACGTCGGATTGATTGGCCAAATATAAAACCCATAGAAAGTCCCAACTTCCTAACCTAACAAACAGCAGAGTTATGGCATTTCCGATCAATCAGTTATATGGCAGCTATAGGATATAGTCGGCCGATCCCGGCCGTTCCGACTTATATACTGCGTGCAAAGGAAAGAAGGGTGTGTGCAAAGTTTCAATTCGATATCTTTAAAACTGAGAGACTAGTTCGCGTAGAAACAGACAGACGGACAGACAGACGGACAGACGGACAGACGGACAGACGGACAGACGGACATGGCTATATCAACTCAGGAGGTGATCCTGATCAAGAATATATATACTTTATAGGGTCGGAGATGTCTCCTTCACTGCGTTGCACACTTTTGACCAAAATTATAATACCCTCTGCAAGGGTATAACGAGATTATCTTTAACCCTAAAATATTTAGTTTATATATATTTATAGATACAACATCTTAATGTAGGAAAATTTTAATATAATTTATTTTTGAACTGATGTTATTAAATACAAAAGTGTGTACCAAAATTAAAAAAAAAAGTTTTCGTAATGTCAGTCCCCAATATGATGTAATACTGTTCAAGTAGAGACATTTTAGTTACCCATTTTGAAGTTTAACCAAATGTATTGCTCCATTTCAATCATATTCACCATATCGTTAGTTTTTCCAAGAGCATTCAATCTTCGACTCGCTACTTCGGCCAGTAAATACTATTTTCTTTCGATTTCATTGCCTCTGCCTTGCTTGCTTAACCAATATTTTGCCGCTCGATAATGAAAGGAAAGCAAAACAGGCGGTTGGAGGAGCTGGTGGCGGGGGATGGACCGTCGGAGTCGGTCAGTCAGGTCCCAATCCCAAAAGCCACAAGGCCCGAAACACACAACAAAAGCTTATAATCATCAAGAGTGAATCTGCTGGTGAAATGGGCCTGGTTGTTGTTTTGGTTTTTGCTTTTCGGCGGCGGCCAAACACACACACACACACACACAGTCAGTCATGTTTGTGGTTTAGACTTTGCTTTCTTTCGCGGCGGTGGGGATTTCATAATATTTGCATTGGTGTGGGCCTTATTTTTTGCCGCACAGGTGTTTGTGTGACCCACTTTCGAAGACATCCCAACAAAGATGCCTGAGAAGTTCTGACACAGCCCGAAATCCAACAAAAAAACGCTCACTGAATGATGCGGTGGGCACTTCTCGGAAAGGCTAATATTACACTGGTTAAGAGTCCAATTCATTCGAATGTGAGATGCGATCGTGATGCTCCCCGGGCAATAAAAAGCAAGCATATGAGTTGCCTTAATTCCTATATTGTTACAAAAATTAATTTGACCAATAAATATTACTAATATTTAACAGTCGTTATTATATTTACTTATATTATAATGTATTTGTTTAAGCTTATGAAACAAAACGTTTGTAAGCTTTTAACTATTTTCAAACATTTTAATTTTAAATGATAACATAAGCAATGTTTTCGGCAGATTAGATTACTTTGCATTTCTGTTATCAGGAAGCGTAAATATATCTGTATATATGTTTTTTTTGCGAAAGCATTGTACTTTTTCACCTTCTTAGAGCAATATAAAACTCAGATTAGATTGTTGTATGATTTACGTTATCAATTTTCGCGAAAGTATATAAACGAATTGGGCAGCGAATTTAGAACCATTTCGAAGTCGGTGGCAACAATGTCATATCAGCCAAAAACGCACTACGATGCAGTGGACAAGATTTGGAGCAGTGAAAAGGAGAAGTCGCAATTCGGCGAGGATCTGTCCATAGGGGAAATAATCTTTCAGGAAATGGTCCGCCATCCCAAGAGTGTAGCGCAGGTTTGTGAAAAAGAACGTCGAAGAGTTATCCCGATAATATAGAGAACTTTTGCAGGTATCAGACTCGGAGAAAACGATCCTTTTACGGGAGGATCTGTTGAACAATGCTATTCGCATCGCCACTTATATGCGCAACTTGGATTTGACTCAGAGAGACATCGTGGGGATTATTGCTCGGAACACCACCCACATTTCGGCCGTCGCCTACGCCTGCTTCTTCAACGGAATCGCCCTGCACTCGCTCAACCCTTCCTATTTACCCGAAATTATTGAGAAGTTGTTCCAGAACACCAAGCCACGTATTGTTTTCTGCGATGGTGATGAGTACGAAAAAGTTCGGGCAGCTACCGCCAAGTTGGATGTGAAGATTGTCACAATGCGAAATCATCCAAAAGACGCTATTAGTATCCAGGAAGTTTTAAAAACGCCGGCGGAAGAAGGATTCAAGCCTATCTCTTTGAAATCCACTCATCAATTGGCCATAATCAGCAGTTCTGGCACCACCGGCACTCCAAAGGCAATCATTGTGCCAAATTGCCGAACCATTCTAAGCACCTTTACGTAAGTGCCCTCATTTAAACATTTGGAGGCTTATAATAAAATGTTGCATTTTAGCAATCTAACCACATTGGATGTTCAGTACTCAGCCAGTACTCTGGACTGGATTTCGTGTTTGTGGACAATAGTTTCCTCTGGAGTCTATAGCACAAAGCGCATTATATCTGAACTGCCCTTTGATCCGGCAGAGACTCTACGCATTATCGAGGAAAACCAGGTTTCTTGGGTTCTTCAGTCTCCTGGGCAAGTGGCAGCAATCATTAATTGTCCGGACTTTGAGAACGCCAGCCTGCAGAGCATTCGATATTATAATTTCGGAGGTGGACGATGTTCAATGGAAGTGCAAAATAGACTTCGGCAAAAATTGGGCAGAGACTTTGTTAACTTTGCCTATGGCTTATCGGAAACAGGATCCCTTTGCTGCGTCAATGTGCACTTCGATGCGAAGCCCAATTCGGTGGGTCGTCCGAGTCCTGGCTACAAGCTGAAGATTATCGACGACCAAGGCGATAAATTGGGACCCAACAAGGAGGGCGAGGTCTGCATAAACAAGGGAAGCTTTTGGCCCGGATACTATGGAAACCCGGAGGCCACGAAAGAAATCTACAAGGACAACTGGCTTCACAGCGGAGACCTTGGATACGTGGATAACGATGGGTTCTTGTACGTAGTGGAGCGAAAAAAGGACTTGCTCAAGTACCAAAGCAACTACTACTATCCGCACGAGTTGGAGGAACTGATTTCCCGAATGCCAGGCGTGGCTGAGGTCTGTGCCTTTGGCATTTGGGGCGTGGAAAATGGTGACGAAGCAGCGGCAACGGTCGTCAGGAAGCCAAATGACCTGATCAGCGAAAAGGACGTGGAGGACTATGTGGCTCAGAATGCTGGGACTGAGTTTTTAAGACTGCACGCCGGATGTTTAATTGTTGACGACCTGAGGAGAAGTCCCAATGGCAAAACAAACCGTGCTGCCAACAAGGAATACTTTCTTCAAGCAAAGGGTATCCAGATAATTACATAGAACTGAAGCACAAATACTTAAACAAGCAATAAAACAATAAATTAAAAGCATTATTTTAACATTTTTTAAAGAATTTACCAAAGATTTTGAAAATTACCGATAAGGCAACGCCACCAGGTGTCGCTCTTGCAGTTTGTAGATATAATGTAGAATCCAAATTATCCAAATATCCTAAGTTAGAGCATAGAGCATTGACTTTTTTAAGTGCACGACTTAATCGCAAATTCAAAATGTTAGAAATGGCAATGAACTTATACAATAAATTAATAAAAAATACACTTATCTCTTATAAACGAAAAGACTACAGGCTAGAAAACCTTGACGCTTGATTAAGATTAGGGAAGTCATCAGAAAGTTCTATTAAATGTATTGATAAGAAAAACCAACAGCATTAAACTCGAAATCCAAAAACCAACTAAGATTCTGTGAGTCTCATATGCTACAGATAAAAGCGAAAAATTTGCCAGTCATTTCACTTTTAATAGATCGCGAATATTTCGCAATTTACCTTTCTACATAGATTAGATTGCTTTACGATTTACCTTATCAGTTTTCGCGAAAGTATATAAACGAATTGGGCTGCGAATTTAGAACCATTTCGAAGTCGGTGGCAACAATGTCATATCAGCCAAAAACGCACTACGATGCCGTGGACAAGATTTGGAGCAGTGAAAAGGAGAAGTCCCAATTCGGCGAGGATCTGTCTATTGGCGAAATAATCTTTCAGGAAATGGTTCGCCATCCCAAGAGTGTAGCGCAGGTTTGTGAAATGGAACGCTAAAGAGTTATCCCGACAATATAGAGAACTTTTGCAGGTATCAGACTCGGAGAAAACGATCCTTTTACGGGAGGATCTGTTGAACAATGCTATTCGCATCGCCACTTTTATGCGCAACTTGGATTTGACTCAGAGAGACATCGTGGGGATTATTGCTCGGAATACCACCCACATTTCGGCCGTCGCCTACGCCTGCTTTTTCAACGGAATCGCCCTGCACTCGCTCAACCCCGCCTATTTAACCGAAATTATTGAGAAGCTGTTCCAAAACACCAAGCCACGCATTATTTTCTGCGATGGTGATGAGTACGAAAAAGTTCGGGCAGCTACCGCCAAGTTGGATGTGAAGATTGTCACAATGCGAAATCATCCAAAGGGCGCTATCAGTATCCAGGAAGTTTTGAAGACGCCGGCGGAAGAAGGATTCAGGCCCACAAGCTTAAAACAAGGAAACACCCACCCGATCGCCATACTCAGCACTTCTGGCACAACCGGCACTCCCAAGGCTGTTGTGATGACCAACCACCGAAGCATTCTAAGTGGCTTTACGTAAGCATACATAAAATATCAGTTAGTTTTAAGGTACAAATGTGTTAACCATATAACATTTTACAGAAACCTTTCTACCGCAGATATCCAATTCGGATCCAGTTCTCTGGAGTGGGCCTTGGGTTTGCTGGCCGTGATTTCCGCAGGTGTTTTCAGCACGAAGCGCATTGTAACTGAGAAACCTTTCGATCCGTCCGAGATTCTTCGCATAATCGAGGAGTACCAGGTTTCCTGGCTTGTGCAGACTCCAGCCCAAATGGCAGCAATTGCTAATTGCCCGGCTTTTGAGAAAGCCAATTTACAGAGCCTACGTTCTTATTTTTACACCGGTGGGCGATGTACCAGGGAAGTGCAGAAGAAACTCGGCAGAAAAGTGGGTGGTGGCATCCTACACTTTGGATATGGCTTTTCAGAGTTAGGATCCTTTGCCACCCTTAACTGGAACTTCGATGCCAAGCCCAATTCGGTGGGTCGTCCGTGTCCTGGCTACAAGATTAAGATTATCGACGACCAAGGCGATAAATTGGGACCCAACGAGGAGGGCGAGGTGTGCATAAACAAGGGAATCTTTTGGCCGGGATACTATGGAAACCCGGAGGCAACGAAAGAAATCTACAAGGACAACTGGCTTCACAGCGGAGACCTTGGATACGTGGATAACGATGGGTTCTTGTACGTAGTGGAGCGAAAGAAGGACTTACTCAAGTACCAAAGCAACAAGTACTATCCGAACGAGTTGGAAGAACTGATTTCCCGAATGCCTGGCGTGGCTGAGGTCTGTGCCTTTGGCATTTGGGGCGTGGAAAATGGTGACGAGGGAGCAGCAACTGTCGTCAGGAAGCCGAATGTCCTGATCAGCGAAAAGGACGTGGAGGACTATGTGGCTCAGCATGCAGTGACTGATTTTTTAAGACTGCACGCCGGATGCTTAATTGTTGACGACCTGAAGAGAAGTCCCAATGGAAAAACAAACCGTGCTGCCAACAAGGAATACTTTCTTCAAGCAAAGGGTATCCAGATAATTACATAGAACCAAAGCCCAAATATTTTACAAGCAATAAAATGTCTTTTCTCAGCTTATAAAGCTATCTAAACATTAAAAACAATGGAATAAATTATTTATTTTAACATATTTTTAAGAGTATACGTACAGATTTTGAAAATTACATTTAGAGTGGCTCCACCATTGGACAGGTGGCGCTTTTGCAGTTTGTAGATATCATGTAGAAACGATGTAGACCATTTTTGTTGGGGCTCGCCAATCTTTATTTCGTCTGCTACCGGATTTTTGACTTTTGGCTCACTTTTGAAACGAAATATATTTTGCTTATTCAAAGACGAATAACTAGGATTCGTAATGATTAGTTTTGTAATTTATAAAAAGTTCGTAAGTATCTGAGTTAAAGGTCAATTACAATTTTTAAGTGTGGCAAGAAAACTATGAATTAGTTACAGATAAAATTCGAAAGGAAGAAGCTACTGATATTCTTTCTTTCGATTCTGTACCACACATTATCAAAAGACTACAAGCTAGAAAGACCTTGACCCATAATGATTTGGGAAGTCATCAGAAAGTTCAATCAAAAGCATTGATTAGGAAAAACGGACGCAAAATAAATAGAAAACGAGGAAGCCATAACACCAACATCATCATCTCTTCGATTCGTTTCCCACTTGCTCCACTGATAAGCCCAGTCTGGCGAATAAGTTGACTTTTGTCGTCAGTCGACTGTCTGGAACTTGCCAGAGATGTTAGCTCAGAGAAATGCTATTGATTTCCGCTCCCTATAGTAATATTTACTTACGAAACATTTCTAGAAGGAGTGTCCAAACTTTTGTTTTGCAAAAGTGTTCTCTCTTTCATAAAGAAATCACTCTCTTAATTGCTTTACAAAATTAGCAGATGTTTAAAAATATTAGCTGGTTACTAATTTTAGTTTCAATCAATGGATCAACATTTCTTGATTTATTTGATTTATTGATTATATAAATCTATGGTTTAATTTAATTTGAATTTTTCAATGTGTCTAGATTCTAAAAATATATTATGTTTGTTCAGAATAATTTAACAGATTTAATTAACTCTAACATTTTAACTCTGAACGCAGATGTTTATTTATAAATGGGAAAAAGTTAGCACCCTAAAAATTATCCCCAATTGCTTAGCGTTTTTCTCTCTCATAATCTTTCTCTTGTGTGCTCCCCAAGAGAACGGCTCCCTAAGAGAATGGGGAGCACTCTCCCAGAGAGACAACAACAGCTGCTCGCTAAGTTCATCGCATGTTTTGGAAGCAACAATTCCGATTTAAGTGCTCCACCGCCGTCAACCGAGCTCCACCGTAATTTTTGTTAAACGCGGACGCTTCGTTATTATACATAAATCAAGAAAAATCAATTCTGTTGCTAAAGTGCGTGCAATAAAAGTGTCAAATTAAGATTAACGAAACCCCTCCAAAAAAGAAGTTTAAAATGGAGCGTATTTTGAGGGGAATTATGAGGTACAGGAATACCACACGCGAGCAAATGGTCAAAGAGTTCCAGAAAGTGCGCGATAATCCAGAGGTGAGCAATACGTTTTATAGGTCAAGATTTCGGAAAAAATGTTTAGAATTTTTTTCACACTCACAAAAAAACCTGAGAACATGTTTTTACCTTGTGGGGAACTATACTATCGCCTGTATTTTATATCATTATCACATTTTTTCGACATGTCTGTCGCAAACCTTGCGCTCTCCTAATTTGCTCTCTTTATATCCGCTCTCTTTTATTTTTTATTTGGTAAACAAACAACACAGGCAAACCGGTTGACCACCAATTCACCCCCTAACACCCCCTTTTGTTTGTTTAATATTAAATTTTATTTTTATATACTTAACTGATTGCTTTTCGGTGCTCTTGAGTTTCGTGCATTGCACCTCAGCTAATTATCAAATTAATTGTGTTCTAATTGAAAATATGTGAAATCTCACTATACCTTTAAAATAGTTTTAATAAACTTAGTCATGTTGTTTTGAATGGTTTTTAAATGTTTTAATACAGTTAAACATGTTGTAAACTTTCTTAAAGTAGGTAAAATGGTACCATTGTTTAAAAATATCTGTTAATTTAATGACCAAAAATAGTTTTGTTTTTAGAAAATGTAATTTAAATAATTCTTTAAATTTAATGTACATGTATTTTATGTATTTATGTATTTTAATTATAACAAGTAATCTTCCATATTTCTTTGGGGCTATTATATTGACCCGAGTTATGTAGGAAATACGGACATAAGTTGCACATGTCATTCCCAAGATATGCTACCCCATCAAAATTCTCAATGTTTTCGAATTTCCCCGTTGGCCAGCCTTGAACCGAGCCCATTGACGCTTTGGTTTGGCCAATTGCCAAGTATGTCATAACTTTCGGTGGCTATATTGGGAGAATATTCACGCACTGGCCGATATCTATGTGATTTAACTACTGATACGCTTTATCTTTTAGCCCAAGGCCGTATTTTTTACTTGCATGGACAGTAGGATGATTCCCACCAGGTACACGGACACCCATGTGGGCGATATGTTTGTGGGTGAGTAACTCTAGTCGAGGCGATTATTTATAGCTTAACATTCCTGTCTATTCCCACGGATAAGTCCGTAATGCTGGCAATCTGATACCACATGCCCAGCACTTCCAGGATGAATACTTCAGCTGCGAACCGGCAGCTCTGGAATTGGGATGTGTGGTGAATGACATACGACACATAATTGTTTGTGGGCACAGCGATTGCAAGGCCATGAATCTGCTTTATCAATTAAGAGACCCTGATTTCGCATCCAAGGTATTCATAGTTTTTATATTAGCCAACATTCTAATAACTAACGAACTCACCTTTCTCCACCAGCGAAACCGTCGCCTTTCACCCTTGCGATCCTGGCTGTGCACCCATGCCAACACTAGCTTAGAGAGGTTCCAGGAGTGGCGCAACGCCGGCATGAAGGATCCCCTGATCTTCTCGTCGGAAACGCCTCTGCGTCGCTTTGTGGCCTACATCGATGAGGAGCAAAAGTTCGCCGTGGAGGACAAGCTGTCACAGATCAATACACTGCAGCAGATGTCCAACATTGCCTCCTACGGATTCCTAAAGGCTCGACTAGAGTCCCACGATCTGCACATCCATGCCCTTTGGTTTGACATTTACACCGGTGACATCTATTACTTTAGTCGTGGCGCCAAACGATTTCTGCCTGTCGATGAGGACACCGTGGATCGATTATCCGAAGAGGTCAGGAGATTCTATTCGTAGGCACCGCCGGCGGACGAACTGGATTATCTGTGATATGTGGGCCTTATACCGCGTTCGGCATTTACAAGTGACAAATTGTTAGGATTGTTTTGTGTATTTATAAGTGTGTAATTGTTTTTTGTATATAAACTTAAGGCCTACGAAGGTTTCAACTTACAAATCTACGAAAAATCAACGAAGGAGATGGCTATCCATCGCTCACTTACTAACAGACTGCAATAACTCAAAAAAGCTATTAAAAGTCTAAATTTACATAGGTCTCATGTGAAGATGGCAGAAGTGAAGCAAGTTTTAACAAATGTATGAGCAGTATATTCTGCACCGTAAGCCATTAGGACAGTCTGGCAGTAAGTGAGCGATATATACATATATACGTATTTATCATTACGGGAAGCGGTAAGACTTTGGGGGCGGCACCTTGGGCGCTTCGATGTGTGCACAACAATAGACGGTTTTCATGTCTTTTGAACGGAGAACGGCAATTTGGGTTACGGAAAACAATGATATTCCTATCGCCATCAATGGTACTTGTGCCCGTGGTGGTTCATGGCACTGTTGCTCGGGTTCTCCAGCTCCTCGAAGTACTTTCGGGCGTTGCGAATGTTGACCAGAGTGGCCTCAGAGGGCAGCGTGGGATCCGACATGACCACCATTACATAGGTGTTGCTGGTGAAGGTATCAATGAAAGCGGCGAAAGCACTATTGCGCACCTCCATCGATTGGAACTTGGCGCCCAGCTTAGAGCAGCTAAGCTTAAACTGCTTAATGATGTTTGACACCTTCTCGAAGCGATGCGAATCGCGGTTTTTCTTGCTCTGGCAATGGGAAATCACCAGGAAAGTGGCCTTCTCGAACAGCAGCACCTCATCGGCCTCAATCACATTGGCGAAGTGAGTCACTGAGTTCTCCAGGGCGGCCACATTTGGTATTAGCATGGTGACAATGGAAGACCAAGCTCTGCAATCAATAAGGGGTTAAAGTTCGGAATCCCCTATGGTAACTAAGCCATTACTAACTTGTATAGTGTTTCGTCCCAAATGCTGGTGCGGAAACAAGTGACATTGCCGGGTTTCGACAGCTTGATGAGATCTTCCATACGCTCCGTGAAAACGTTCTCGCGATGCTCCTCCGGGACCAGATCCATTTTGTGCACCAGGCAGAAGATCTTGGCCTCCGGCGAGTTCTGGAGCAGTGCCTCCAGGCAGCTCTGATAGTAGTGTATGTCGCGCTCGATCTCCTGGCTCTCCACGTCGAACACATAGATGAGCACCTCCACATTGCGAAAGATGTTGTCGCGCTGCTGGGCAAAGTACTGCTTCATGAAGCCCTCCTGGCCACCGCAGTCCCAGAGATTGAGCACCAGGTTGCCCAGAAACCGCACATGCGAGTGCTCCACATCGACTGCGAGTATATATTGTGCTCTAGGATCAGTTCCCCCTTCCGATTATATAGCATTACGATTACTCACTTGTTGCTCCAAGGCGTGTCGTATCACGGGCGATATAGTTAGCGAAGATAATGGAGCGCATGCTGGTCTTCCCCGATCCGCTCTTCCCCATTAGCAACACCTGATAATGCAAATAGATGGTACTTCAATCTTTTAACTGGAATAGGCAAAGACCCCACCTTTTTCTTCATTGTAGTGCCAGTTTTTTAGATCTCCAGGAAAATAATATAATCAACAATAAAAACAAATAGTAGAGAGAGTAGAGATGTCCCACCTCCGATGACCCAGTCGAAAATATCGATGATTTGGTTTCAGAAGATTGGCTTTTTCAACTAGTTCCTGTACCGTTATCTTTCCACCGAACAAACCAAATATAAAAAAGGAATACCCTAAGCCTGTGTAATTAATTAAAATAAATAAAAACAATTCAAAAGTCTCACTTGGTGATGCTAAGCGCTAATATATACACTCTGTAGGGTCGGAAATGACTCCTTTACTGCGTTGAAAACTTTTGGCTTATAATACCCATTGGAATCAATCAATAAAAACTTAATTAATTGAGTAATGGAATAACAGAAAGCATCAAGTATCTTTTGATTATTGTAAAATTAAAAGTTTCCGGTTTTCGCAGTATAAATAACTATCCAAGAACCAAACCGCTAATAGTTTCAAAAGGGAGCGCCAAGAATCAGCTTGACTTAAGATTGTTTCTAAAAAATCGTTGGGAACACACAAATGATTTTAAAAATAGGCATATGAAACAATGTCTTACATTAATTACATTTTATATTTGGGTATTTCTGGTTTAATTTGTTTACAAAACCATCTTGTAACATAGATGTTCGACAAAATGAATACCGATAAGATGCAGTCACAGGGAGCGAAAACCATTCAAGGCCGCTTCATCGTCCACCTCTATCTTGTTGGAAAACAGGGTTTTTTATTTGACATTTCACTTGAGTATAACGCAATTTCCAAAACCCCAACCCAAAAACCTTTCGTAACAGCGAAAATTAACCCCTAAAATGAAAAAATTCTCTTTTTTCAAACCGCACAAGTGGGCCAACCACCACCGCCACTTAGTGCCACCACTAGCGTGGCCGCGGGTCCCGGTGAATGGCGAAAAATCGCAGAGAAAACATGCTTAACAATAAAAAAAGAAGAAAACCAGCAGCTAACGCTGGCTGATTGATATAACGAGGCGTAAGAGACAAAAATTATAAGTTAGTGTAGAGAAAAAATCGCTGCTTGCGAAGAAAATTCTGGTGGCGAATTCCTGGCGATTCGATGAGCAACATAAACATAAACAAAGTGCCCAGGCCGAACCCAAATGCCAATGGGAATCCAGATCGCCATCTGAACCCGAATCGGAGCGTGGATTCCGATGAGGAGGAGGAGGGCGATGGCCGGATGAGCGACAGTGGGAGCAGCACGGCCAGCAGCCAGCGGAGTCGCACCTCGAGCAGCAGCTCCACGGATTCCTCCAGTGGTTCGCCGGACGAGGACCCAGATGGCGAGGACGAGGACATGACCGACCAGGATGCGGCCAGTGGCTCGGAGACGGAGGACGACACCACCACCTGTCAGTCGGACGAACTGGAGCTGGCGCAAATAAATGGAAGGCAAGTCTTCCGGCTGCCGCGGGGCCTTTGCGAGAATTCGGCCATTTTCCATGAGTTCTTCTCGTTGGAAACCTGGCAATTGCTGCCTCATCATCTGCAGGCCCGTCTGCAGCCCCTGCTGCCGGACTTTTCCGGCTTGGTCTCTGGACAGGCTCAGGCGGGCGCCGAACAGCAGCGCACTCTGGTGCAGCTCTTCAATGGTGGCCTCCAGCGCTTTGGGCAGTCGCCGCTGCTTCAACTTCAACGACAGCTGGAGGAGGGCAACCTGCGACCGGATGTCCTGCAGCTCCGGCGGAGTATCCAACACTCCGGCAGAAGAGAATTCCGTTTTCAACAAGCCGAACGCTTGAGCCAGCTGGCCAAGGAGCTTTTTCTGTCCAGAGAACAGCTCCTTCAGCATGCCTACTCCTCTGCCCCGCCCGCTGAAGGCACCTTTGGAAAATACCTGCCCAAACCACGCCCCTGCAAAAGGAAGCCGCCCGCACTGTCCATAGAAAATCGATTTTGCTCGCAAAGAGCGAAGAAAAGGTACGCCCAGGAGCTGCTAGATCTCATGGGCGAGCTGGACGCAAAGCCCGGGGACATCAGTGCTGAGGAGGAGGAAGAGGATGAGGAGTGCGCCCAGTTGATGGACCGCTTGGCCAAGACACCGCAGGAATTCAAGTTGGAGGAGCCAAAGGCTCCGGAGCCAGTAGGCCCTGGCAGACCATCGAATGCGGCAGACAAGAAATGCATTTACAACACCTTCTTCAAGCGGCGATTGGGTGTGGACGATGACCTGGTGCTGCGCTCCATGCAGGCGGAGAGGATACCCCAGCTCAACGACAAGAACTTCCGGAAGTATTTGAGGGACTACAAGCGGCGGAAATTGGAACAACCTGTAAGTTGTTGGCTTGTTATGTAAATAAAGCTCGCATATCTATCTTCTTGAAACCTTTATAGTCAAATTTTGATATTTGTTTAGTTGGAGCTCAAGTTGGTAATTTGATTTTTTATAAAAATTGTTCTTTTTAATTTTTCGAACAAAATTGTATAAAAATTCGTAAACAGAAACCCTAACCTTATGAAGAAGATGAGAACACAAATGGTGTTCCGAGCTTTAGTTACTGCTCACATATATTTATAATCCATTTTCTATTTTAGGAAAGTCCCGAGTTCGATACTTCGGAGGTGCGTCTGCGCGACATCTGCACTCGTGCGCAGTTTGTGGGAAGCTTTAAGCCGGGTCGGAAACCAAAAGCGCTTATGGCACGCCTCAATCCTGATCCACCTGCCCTTGTGCCCATTGGAGGTACGGCAGTGAAGAGCGAGTTTGCGGATGAGGAGCCCATGCTGATGGACGAGCTGCAGCAGCTTTACGGACGACGAGCGCCTGAGGATCAGCCAGAGGAGCATGTGCCACCCAAGGAGCCACTGCCTATGCCAAAGAAAGTTATACCCGCACCAGTTGTTCTTCCTCATCCTGTACCCAAGCTGGAGCCTTTGAATGGACCGATAGTTTCCAAGGCGAGTCCCACGCTTGCACCCAATCTATCGAGCAAGCTTGCTGCTGCTGCTCCTGCAACTGCTGGTCACATCACCGGCAGTCCCACCCGGGAATTGCTGATTCGACCGCCAGCCTCACCCCGACCCGCCTCCTTCTTCTCGCTGTTGAGGGATCTGTTTGTATCCACACCGCAGCACCGGCTTACCTACGGGGAACTGCAAATCCTGCTGGCGAGCTGGCGGGAAATCAACTCGGATGCCTCGATACCCACCGGGGAGTGGCCGAGATTCGTGCCGGATTGGTCCAAGTTGCTACAATCGGCTATTAGTTTCATATCGGGTGATTCCGGCTCTGTGCCGGCGGATTATGTTCCCTATATTGAGCACAAAACTCAGTTGGGGATCTACCAATGGATAGGAGCTGGCCGGGACTCCGATGCGCGACTCCTCAGCCTGTGTCAGTGTTGGTTGCGAACCCAAAGGGAGGAGCAGTCGCAACTTAGTCCTGCTCTGAATTCGAATGCTCATTTAAATTCTCTGGTGGACGCATCGCCAACGCCTCCTCCAAGATGTCCCACCACCTGGACCGTGCGCTCAGCCAGCCAGGCGGAGATGCTGGAGTTCCAGCGGCAGGAGCGGATACGCTTCGAGTACCCGCATCGACCGTTCACCTATCGTCTCAATGGGTATGAGAGTGTGGTGGGTCCAGTCAAAGGAATCTATACCCAAAGTCTGCCACTGAACAAAGCAAGGGGTCATGCCGTCATGGTCGATGACCGACCTCCGTTTGTGACCATTCTCACCCTGGTGCGTGATGCCACCGCCCGGCTGCCCAACGGAGAGGGAACCCGCTCGGAGATCTCAGAGCTGCTTAAGTGCTCCCAGTACGTCAGTCAACAAGCTGCGGACAATGTACTTCAGACCATCGTGAGTGGTGCTTTGGATCGGATGCACGGTGGTCAGGATCCTTGCGTGAAGTACGATGCCAGGCGCAAGATCTGGATCTATTTGCATCGCAATCGCAGCGAAGCGGAATTCGAGAAGATGCATCGACATAACCAGACCTTGGTGAAGCAGAAGCAGCAGCAGAGGAAGCAGCTAAACAGGCCAAAGATCCCTGACGGCGTCGAAAGCTCCGGAATGGTAGTGGATCACCAACAGGAGCAACCTCCCGCCTTGGTGCCCGCAGTGGTTTCACCAATTCCCGTTTCGGTGCAACTTCCAGTGGGTGCTTCGCTGCATGTGAAGAAGCCACTGGCCGTTAAATGTCCGCCAGTGCCGCCCCTAAAGTATCATATACCGCCTGGAACGCCCAGTACAGGAACAATTGTGACCGCCTCAACCAATCTTAATCCGAATCAAATCCAACTACAGCAGGTACAGAAATCTCTGCTCAAACCCGTGGGCGTTCCCAACGCAGCTCCATCGCCCGTTCAACGACAGTTGGGCACTCCCAAAACCGGCAGCTTTGCGATCTCTAAGATCAGTCCAACCCGAAATACTACGCCCATTTTGGTGTCCACCCCAAGTGGCTTGCAAACCGTGCATGTAGCAACAAATCCGACTCAAGCAGCAGGATCCGCACCGCAAGCAGTAGCCAAGAAGCTGACCATTAAGAAGCCCGCTCCCGGCAACAAGATAGGAAACTTTATCATCCCGCTGGAGCAACAGCAGCACGTTCAACAGCAGCAGGGTCAGCATGTGAAGGTGCAACCGATTACTGGGAAACCCAAAGCTCTCACCATCACCCCGCGTCCCCAAATGCCGAAGAACATTATCCGGCTGCTGCCTGCTGGTGGCGCCGCCGTATCTGGCAATGCCGCAACGAGTCCCAAGCCCGCCTCTGTACAAATCCTCGGTCCCCGGGTAGTGCCGCAATCCCAGACAGTGCGACCTGTTCAGCAGAAGATCGGTGCAGTATCCATTGTTGCCAGCAAACCGGTTACTAGTATTTCCGTCACGGAAACTGCAAATCCCGTGACCATCACCACGAGTTCGCCTGTTACCGGGGGCGGAACCATCGTGAAGATGTCGCCCCAGGCATTCGCCAGTCTCCAGCAGCAGCAGCAACAGTTAAAACAGAAGGTGAACAGTACGAGTCCTGCCCTGAACTCACAGCAGCAAAGAATTATTGTCGGTGAGTGTGGTCACTTGTGTATTTTAGAACCCGATTGAGTAATATCATCCTTATTTCTTAATAGGCAACACGGCCATTTCCTCGAACAAAAAGATCGTATTCCAGTCGCTGACGAAAGCAGCACCAAAAATACTCACCACATCGCCGAGTGGCTCGGTGGCCAAAGCAACGACGAGTTCATCGCCGCAGCAGCAGAGGATTGTGTTACAGAACTTCAAGCAACCCGTGATGGCCACCAACCAATCTGGTACACTAACTGCTCTGGGGGGAAATGCAACGCGTGTGATTCGAGCAACTCCAGCGACTGCGGTAGGAACTGGAGGAGTAGTGGGAGTAGGCAACTCCCCTCAAGCTGGCGGGCAAATCATAACTCTGGATAGTCTCCTCCAAAAGCAACCTGCTGGAGCAAAACTTATCACCAACTCTGGCAACAATATCTTCCAGTTGGCCACATCGTCGTCGGGGAATGTGATTACCCTAAATCCCAACCAGGCGACCAAGCAGTTGCCCACAATGGCACGTATTGTGAATGCGACCAGTACGACCACTGCAGCTGGTGGCATGTCAAACATGGTGCCAAAGATAATTGGCAAGACGACGGTGCTGCCGGGAAAACCATTGCTCCTGCACGCCAAGACGTTGAAACAGCTGGGCGGCTGCGGTGTGGCCACCACCCAGACCACAACGGCGACAACCACAGCGGTGGCGGCAGTGGGAGGCGGAGGAGCTGTGGTTACCGGCTCGGGAGTGGTGAACTCAGGCGTGCGAACGACTCAGAACATTGTGATTGGCGGTCAGACCGTAAAGCTGCAGGGCGCGGTGAGTAATCACAATAATACCATCACATAAAACTAAACTAACAGATGAAAACTATGTAAACTATGCTTCATTACCCACTACCCGACTTTAAAAAATACCTTTACATCAAAGTGGCTTCTTTTAAACCGTTTATATTATTATCGTTAGAAATTGATTACAATGATATTAAGTTTAATATTATAATTCCTATCTTACAGATTTCCGCGCGAGGTACCGGGGCACCTGTACAGACCGTCATTATGGGCAACCAACTCCTGCGGCTGGCCACCAACAGCGGTAGCAACAGTGCAACCACTTCCACTGGCGGCATGGTGACGGCGCCCAAGACGGTGTTAATCGGAGCGGGAGGCACACAAACACTGCGCCTGGCCAAGAACGTGCTGGTGGCCAATAAGCAGATCGGGAGTACCGCAAACTGTAGCATCGTTAGCACCACCGCGACAGCAACTCCAGCGGCGACAGCGACGGCGACGACTGGCAACAATCTTGTGTTCGCCGTGCAAGGCAACGGCGGGCAGCTCTTCTTCTCGCCGGGACTGCAGGGCATGAACCTGAAGCCGCTGTCCAGCTTAAAAGTGATACCCATGGCCACAGCGGCGGCAGCTGGTGCAGCAGCGGGCGGAAAAATCTCCGTGACGACGGTGGCCGGAGAGACGGGAGGCAAGGCGCTGACCACAAAACTGATCCCCGCCACGGTTCTCAAGACGGCCACGGGCAGTGGCAACTAGGAGGCTCAGGAGCGGAGAGGCTTGTTAACCACGTTGTTTACCCTTCCTTGGTTAAACTTTCTTCGATTTTGTTTTAACAACTCGTGTAATTTATCTATGTAGGCAGAAAGTTTGCAAATATTGCTTCGTACTAAGTAAAAATAATGGACAGCGATAGAAAAGTCCCATCCAGCAACCAATTTTATGGAACAGTTTATAAAATAAATATTAATATAGAGACACCCAATAAAACTCAGATGAAACCAGAGAGATAATGTTTTCTTGCTGTACAAATGTAGCCAGAAAATCTTTTGGTAAGTAAAGACCAAAATAGCAGGATTTTTCTGTACATTTTTTTTGGAAATATTATACTATACTCAGTAATATCCGCAAGATATTTAAAAAGTATGGGCTTGTTTTTAAATATGTCAGATGTAATCTTATTTTTTTAATCTAAATGGATGGAAAACCCGTTAAATCAAACGCAGTATGTAAGTTGTTAGTTATTCTATTTGGTATATATCAACGATCACTCCGTTCTCTCACTCTTTCACATTCAACAACACAATCCGTAAGACTATAATCTTTAATTACAATTAATTCAATAAAACCAACATTAATTACAGCATGTGACCGCGTAGAAAAGCCATTGGGACGGCAGCCAAAATGGAAATCAAAGAGGCTCCCAGAACAGAGGCACTACTCTTGACTTGGTCCGGCTTCTCATGTTCTTTATCCTTGTGATCCTCGCATGAGAAATCGAAGTCCTTGGCGGGGCCCAAACAGCCCGCATAACTCATTACGTAAGCCAGGTAATTCTGCTCGAAGACGCCACGAATCAAACTGGAGCCAGGTCCATAGGCAAAAACGGCCACATCCTCACCGCCATGGGTTTCGTCCTTTCTGGGTACTGTTGCCAAATGACGATAAGTGGGAGCAGTTCGCTCCTCCTCCGTAAATTGCTTGAATTGAATCCAGAAATTTGAGCTATTCTCCGGCTTTGAGTCATTGGCCAAATGATCCCAGTAACCGGGGCCATTGGCATACGATATGGTTTCAAATTCCATTGGATCTTCTTTCTCATGAGAGTTGGCTGACCCCAAAATGTCAGCTCCTCGGAGGGCATAGCCATTAAAGGTTACCGCGTGGGAGTGATCTGCCGTCACCAGGATCAAAGTTTCATCGGGATCCGTGATGTTTACAGCTGCTTGGATTGCCAAATCGAATTCGTAGAGCTCATGAAGAGCAGCGCGAGCATAGTTCATGTGGTGACCCTGATCAATGCGACCACCTTCCACGAGGAGCACGTATCCGTTGGACTCATCACCCCTTTCCAAGATTCCCAAAGCCGTCTCTGTCATTTCCAGAAGCGAAGGTTCCCCTTCCTCCCTGGCTATGGAGTAAGTGATATGATTGTTCCGGAACAGACCCATTAGGTGATCAACTTTCTTAACATCCACATTCAGCAGATCCTTGCGGTTGTGTACCAAAGCTGGAGGCACTGAATCATTGGCATGATTAGCCAGCCACTCGGCAGGAAGATTCCTGTTATCACCACGAGTGCAAATAGTTTCCGTGGGTCCTTCGAAATTGGTACTACGCACTTCAGAGACATTAAGGATACCCATTGGAGACATTCCGCCGCCCAGGATCACGTTGAACCGATTTCCAGGGGCATTCTCCACCAGCTGACGGGCAATATCTACATGAATGCCCACCGATTCCGAGGGAACCTCCGTGTCGCACTCCCAATCTCTGTCGTAAATGTGGGCGTAGGTGGCGGAGGGCGTGGCATGTGTGATCCTGGTGGTGGTGACTATTCCCGTGCGCTTGCCCTCTTTTTGGGCCCACTCCATGACGCTTTGAACCTGACCTTGCTGGGCATCCTTCTTCGAACGCGTTGCATCCAAGCCAATGGCTCCGTAATGGGTTTTGGAGCCCGAAAATATAGCTGTGGCCGTACCCGCCGAATCTGGCACCTGTTTGTCCACATTGTAGGTCTGTAAAATAGTAATATTCATTAATATAACCCTATAAATACAATATCCAAGATGTCAAGCCACATTTTGTATGGTTCGGTGGCTTTTACTTTCACTGCTCTCGATTTTCCGATTTGTTCCGGTTTTAAAAGCTTTTAAAATTAGTTTTACTTGAATAACCTTCTCCATTAGGCAACACAAAAGATGTTTTGTTAAACTTATTTAAACTGTTTTTTTTAATGAAAAAATTGGCTGACATTTTTGGAGATATCTTTTATAAATAAATTTATTAAGAAAATGTAATTTAATTTACCTTGGCCATTCCAGTGTTTGGGAAGTCATCGAAGACTAGAGTCTCCTCCTCGCCATGACCATGCTTCAAGTACTGTCCCTTGTAGATGCGACCGGCACTGATCGTGGATATACCCATGCCATCTCCAATAAAGACAATAATATTCCGGGCCTTTTTCTGGTAGGAAATATCCTTTACACGCTGCGCTTGCTTAATGGTCTTTTCCAACTGCGTCAGTCCTACTTTATGCCAAAATTCAGCATCTGAAATCGGATTGGCAATAGGAAAACTAATTAAAACTAAATCGGAATGGAAATTGTTGGATAAGTCAACATGTCACGTATTAATTGCCCATCTCCAGTGAGATCCAGTTGGAAATGAACATTTCTAGTTTGAGTTTTTATACCCTTGCAGAGGGTATTATAATTTCAGTCAAAAGTTTGCAACGCAGTGAAGGAGACATTTCCGACCCTATAAAGTATATATATTCTTGATCAGCATCACCACGAGAGTCGATCTAGCCATGTCCGTCTGTCCGTCTGTCCGTCTGTCCGTCCGTCTGTCCGTCCGTCTGTCCGTCCGTCTGTCCGTCCGTCCGTTTCTACGCAAACTAGTCCCTCAGTTTTAAAGCTATCTGCTTGAAACTTTCCCAAAAGTTGTTTTTCTATTGCAGGTAGTATATAAGTCGGAACGAGCCGAATCGGGCGACTATATCATATAGCTGCCATATAACTGAACGATCGGAAAAGCCATAACTTTGGTGTTTGTAAAGTTAAGAAGTTGGGATTTTCTATGGGTTTTATTTTTGGCCAATCAATCCGACATACCGAATTTCATAAGGATCAGACGACTATATCCTATAGCCGCCATATAACTGATTGATCGGAAGTGCCATAACTTTGGTGTTTGTAAAGTTAAGAAGTTGGGATTTTCTATGGGTTTTATTTTTGGCCAATCAATCCGACATACAAAATTTCATAATGATCGGCCGACTATATCTTATAGCTGTCATATAACTGAACGATTGAAAATGCCATAACTTTGGTGTTTTTAAAATTAGGAAATTGGGACTTTTTATGAGTATTAAGAATGCATCAAATGAATAATTTTGAAGAATATAATTTACAAAATATTCTGCAAGGGTATATCAACTTCGGCTCCGTCCGAAGTTAGCTTTCCTTTCTTGTTAAGTATGCGACTAGTTAGGGGTTTTTTTTTTGCATCGTAAAAAATTTCTAGATTTTCCACAATTCGGTGGCAACGACTTTTCTTGATTTATGCGCTCGTTAACTTTATAATTTTTGCTTTAAGTCACAAATCTAAAATTCAATTTTATCATCTGAATTATATTTACTTATCTTTATTTATGTCTGTCTTTGTTAATATATGCACTTACATTTTAATTTCTCAGGCTTTATTTATTTCTCTTATCTTTATTTTATTAGCTTAATTTATACGATTCTATACTGTATTCTAATTTAGTGGAAAAAATGCAATTAAAGTATAATGATTTTAATCTGATCTTAGTAAACTTGTAAAACTAGGTAAATATTAATAAAAGCTTATTTAAATTAAAACCAGAGTTCCACATCTAACTCTGATTAATATGGATTTTGGGAGAATATGAATTAATTTTTAATTTTGTATAACATTTGCATTTCCTTTTCACGATTCGGAACGTGCATTAGCTGATTTACTTGCGGTGATGATTATCATTTCGCGATATGTAATTAATATTCAATTGAGGTAGCTTAAGTATAGGTGGTGTATTCCACCCACTGCCACCCACCACCCACCGCCCTGCGACCTCGACACTGAGACAGGTTACAGTTAAGCTTCGTTTGTTGACTGCTAATTTCGGCTTGTCAATGAAATTAAAAGTATATGATTAATCAGTTTTTTCTCTACTGGTAGACTTATTTATATGGTTGATTTTTTGAATGCCTTGTTAACTCAAATTATTAACTTAAGTCATAGCATAATCAAACAATTAGTGGAATTAAATATTTGTGATTAATTTTGCTACGGTTTACCCATAAATTTGTTTGTTCGACAACAGTCTACTTTCTGACAGCAATTTGAGCAGAGTGTTTTTTTATAATGGAGTACAATTTGTAACGCTTTTTTGTTCCACTAGATACAATACCTAAATTTTTGCGGTTGGATTTTCTGTTAAATTTGTTCATTGAGTTGCAATGACCCCTCACAATTTGAAAAGTAAATCTAAGTGCCTTTTTAAGTGTTTAAGATAGCGCAACCTTGATAGAGCAGAACCCAAGTTTAGTCGTTTAGATTCTCGTTGCATAATTGAACTGGAGAACCATTCAAGTTCAAGTAATTTAAATTATTTCACGTTCTAAGCGTAGTGCTTTACTCTGGTTTTAGCACGTTTGTTTAGGAAATTTCCGTTTTAGATACGTTGTAAGTGGGCTCCCAGACTTACCTTCTGGTTCCTTGGGTTTTTCGACATTGAACTGAGGTCCTATATCTCCTCCAGCACTCAGGGTTCGAATAAGAGGCGGTGGTTGGGTGGTGACTGCGGCCCAAGTAACAGCTATCAGGCCACCACATAAAAGTCCGAATAATGCCAGGGAATGCATTTTCTCACTGACGCAAAAACCGCGAACAATTGAAGACGACTATTTTTGGTGCGACTGTGATTTCTATTTAAATGGGGATTTATATCACAGCTCAGCTTGAGGCGCAGATTCTTTCAACATTCCATCGAATTTTATTAGAACTGCGAGTGCGCGGAACGATTTCGTCTCGGGTTGTCTAAAATTCTGTCCCGTGTGGATCTCAATTAGCGACTAACACCGAAGTCGGCCCACAAGCGCCGTTATATGGCAAAATATCCATCCAGCCGATCGGCCGAACCCGAAGCTCGAGCACCAACACATATGGAGAACGATCGTTTCGGCGGTGGGGGAATTATACCCAGCAATTGTGGATTATATCCAGGGCGCTTATAAAATATTATTGAAGCCGCACAGGGGTTTTTGGGCACGTACAATATGTTTAAGTCACCTAAGTTAAATGTTTTAGCATTTAAACACAAAAACTAAAATAACAAAAAAATGTAGGAAATGTAATAAAATTTTACCTATTCAGCTATGCCTTTTTAGGCATTTAAGCATTTTTAAATTGCTATATGTATATCCATGTTGGAATTAAACTTTAAGTTATTTTTCATTTAATGTATGTGTAGGTTTCTTAAAAGTCCTGGAAAGATTACATTAGTTATTATTGATATTATTAGTAGTTATATTGCTAATAATTTACATTTTTTGAAGCCTTTTCTTTTTATTTAGTACATCCAGTCTGGTTACAGGATATCTCTTAGTCTACAAACTCAGTAAGAAGCAATTAAGTTATTAAAATTACGGCGCCGCTGAGATAAATCCATAAAAACGTGCCCAGCTTTTACGAACTAAGGGCCCCCGCACCATAAACACTTAAACGATCACTTGTTTGCCCCGAATCTTGCCCGGAATTCTACGGCGGATCCCGTGTCGATGAGCTGATTTACGGCGGAACATTCACGTGAAGCGACTGCTGGTCGGCTATATCAGTATCTTTATCTCGACCGATGTCTGCAGATAGAATAACGCTGCCGTTGTTTGTCCTCCTAGGAATAGATAAAACAATCAAGGGGTACCCTCAGCGGCACACATTGCGTATGCGTGTTATTTGCATTGGCCCGACTTTTGGCTGCCATTCGGCAAACATTAAATGGAAATTTTATCTTCCGTTTTGTGAGAATCTGCTAACGGCGATCCCTCAATGCCACTTGAACAACCTTTTGTGATCTTTTTATAGAGCATTTTATTACAAGATCCAAGCAATATAGTAGAAATAGACATGATGGCTATTGTCATAGGTTCATGTTCTAGTAAGCATATAGTACCCAAGCTTATGCATATGAAAATCACGTTTAAGTCAACTGACCGATTAGCGGCTTCTGCGCACTTGGAAAATTTGCACATTAATTTTTTACAGCCCAAAAAGGTGTCTGTATTGTCATTAAGATCATAAATATTTGTCATTATGCGCTAAGAAAAAGCATGTGTTCTTTTTACGCGAATTCCGTAAGTGTTTGCAAAAGTCGAGAGGTGAGATCAAAGTCAATATTAATCTTGACAGTTAATGCTTTCCGGACGATAGATGTGGACACTTCGCCACACAAAGCGTTGTAAATCTTTATCTGCTCGCTTTGCCTTCCTGCGCACGATTTCAGACAACATTGCCAAATAGATATATTAAAATATGGGGAAACTTCCACTGCAAGTGACGTTCTTTTTGAGCCCGGTCATTCTCCTACCGATTGCACTTCGTTAATTATTATTACATAGTCTCGTGTTGATTTTTTACGCTTGACAAGAGAAGCACCAGAGATACATACCTTGCCTAAAGATACATTCCTAAAATTTAAATAATAATTTCATTTATTTTTAAGCAATATTTTAAAATATGTAAGTCACATGTAAAAATAATAATATTCTTGTTTATAAAATTTATTGCTTAATGAATTCTGGAGTTCAGTCCCAATAAATAAAAAATTGAAAAATATTTAGCTTTGCAATCAATTTAAATTATATTAATTTTACAAATATTTTATTGGGTTGTAAAAAAACTGTAACTTATAGTGTATAATTCTATACTTTCCCATCATAAAAAAGTCATTCATCGTTTTTCCAGCCCATCAACACAAAACTGTAGCAAACAATAATTTTGTTGAGCTATTTGCAGCCGCTTTTTAATGAACTATTTTTCATGTCACGTATAAATTTTTGCTAATATTGCAGGTGAGTATGGGTGTGTTCTGCGTCGGGATTTTTGCGGAGAGATTCTATAAAGTGTGCACCTACAATCGAAAGCAGTACAATCGTAGGTCACATTTTTTTTTGTTTTTTTGACTAGCATTAGAGAAAGTGTTTTGTATAAAATTTTAACTAAAGCTAAAGTCAAACACTCAAATAAAATTGCACAAATTACCTGGGATTGTTGTATATTATTAGTTAACAATGTAAAAACATTTTGATATTGTGAATTCAAAGTAACAACTTTTTGTTATGTAAATATATATTAGAATCTAGTATACTTGCAATATTGCTCTAATTCTCCAGCTTGTGACAATTTACTTGCGTGCCTGACGTTACCTTAACAAGGAGTACAACTAAATGGGTAACAGAAAGTCAAAACGAAAATCATAAAAAATAGTATTGAGCAGGAGTATCGGTCTGCCCACTATGAGAACTTCTTGGTGGTGAATCCTGCCCGCACATTACTGGTGGTGGCCGATTTCACAGTCGACCTGCTCGTCTTGGTTACGGTTGTGGTGTCATTACTGCTGATGCTGCTGCTGTTCTTCGTCGTCGAGTTGCTGTTGTCAGTGTTGCTGTTGCTGCTGTTGCTGTTGCCAGTGTTTGTTGCTGTTGCTAGTGCTGCTGCTGCTCCTCGTGACCGTGGTGATGTTGCTGCTGCTGGCACTCATCAAAAGCGAACGACGCGGCGGCATCCGTTCGTTGACCGCATCCAGGCCCTTGGCCTCCGCAAAGGAGTGAATGTGCGAGGATGCGGTCAGTCCTTGCAGAGCTGCGAGTATATATATGCCAGAGATGATAGCGAAGAGCTCAATTAATAATCATTACTAACAAAGTTTAAACAGAGCAAAGCTCTTAAAGCTATCTGGGATGCCTACTCCTTTAAGTACTTTCAGTGAGCTGACTGTATCTTTTAAATATATATTCTAAAGCATTTTCTTGAGCATATACTCTTGAACATTTTAGCTCAATGGGGCAATCTTTAAAGGATATTACGGCTTCAGGCCTTTAATGTTCAATACAACAGGGGACTTATGCAGATAACGTACCCCTTCCCAGAGGGCGATTACCTTGGAATTACATTGGATTGCTTACGAAGTCATTATGGCGGTGGTTAAATTATTATATTTGGAACTTTATCCTAATGTATTAAAATAAAAACGAATAACGTTGCCACAATTATGGTTTGTTGTTAAAAAATACACAATTGAACCCCGTTGCAAAATACCTTTTGAAAACTCATTGGATAGCTTACAATATCAACCGGCTATTGTTAAATTTTATACTTTTACAAAGTGATTTTAAATCTATTTGTATTAAGCTTTAGACGTAAATATTGCATTTCTGACTTACCCTCCTGGAGGGAATCCCTTCCGCCGGACAAGGCGCCCACTGGCAAGGCGCCCGTGGGCGTCAGACCCTTCAGCTGGAGCACGCTCTCCGATTCCTCCCTATTGAGAATATTTAAATATTTAATTAAATACATTTTTGGTATTCTAGAAGACGTTATGCACCTGAGAATGGAGAAGACGCGCGACATCTTGCCAATGGCCCGTATCTTATTCCGTATTATCTCTTTGCGCAGCGCCGACATGGAAGCTGCGAATTGAGGGCTCGATTAGACGGAATCTCGCTGGTTCACGGGGGTAAATTTAATGGAAATCAGCTGGAAAACTCGCGGAAAAGCCGATCAAAGCATGGCGCAAAGCTATCACTAAGCTTATCTATCTTTTGGCTCAGGCATTATTTGTTGGCTCAGGCATTTTTGGCAGTGGCAGTGGCTGTGGCATTTGCATTGGCATTGACATTGGCAGAGGCTGTGACTTTGGCTTTGGCTTGGGCCTGCGCTTAACACCTGGCTTACCTGGCTTACTGGGCGTATTATTGTTATTGTTATTACTCGCGTTCGCCGGCACGAGCACAATTTTCTTGCGGAGCTCTTTTTTGTCGTATCGTTTTTGGTTTCAGTTTGGTTTGGACGTGTTTTGAGTGAAAAAGTTGGTTGGTGTTGGTACATATATTTTAGGGATGGTAGTAGATTGCAGTTGTTGTATTTCGATTTTTTTTGTTTCGGAAAATATTTTTAATAGAAGATTAGTTTGTATTGCACGTGTATTCGTATTGGCCCACAACAACCAAGCAAAGTACGACATTTACACACAGTCTATAAAGAAAAATTCCAATATCTAAACTTACCTTCCTCCAGCTCGTCATCAGGTCCTGCCACCAGTTCGTCGTCCGAACAAATATTCAGGATATTAACCAGCATCTCGGTCACCTGGGAGGGGAAACACTATTTATTTAGCTTTGTTTTGTCTTGGTAACAAGTAAAAGATTAAACTCATACAAGTAAACCTGGTTCTAATGATCTGAAAATTGATTTTTTAAAAGTAGTCGAGCTATTAGCCTAAAGTTTAAGCCAATTTTTGAAAAAAAACAGTTATAATTTACATTACAGGAAATCGGAGATATATCACCCTTTGACCTATTTATTTGTAACCAGGTCTTTAAAATACATGGCTACTTAATAATATTAGCGAGATCGCAGGTCGGGTCTTTTGAACTGATCCCCCAATTTCCACTCACCTTTTCACCCACAAAGGGCAGCGACCATGTGAAGACGTCCATAAAGTTGGGCAGCCAATATGGATGTGGCGAGCAATTAAACTGGCGGATGTTCATCACGTTGTTCTCGTACTTGAGCACAGCTGCCTTTTGTCAAATGTTTTCGTTGGGTTGACAAAACCAGCGCGAGCGGAGAAAGAGACGGGTAGAGTGCCGGAGAAAGAGACGGGTAGAGTGGCATAAAAAGAGGAGAAGGAAAGATATTACGAACGCAGCGCGATTTAAACTCGCACCAGCTCGCAATGCAGCCAAAAAAGATTTCGTTATTTAAAAATAGCAAAGGAAAGAACAACAACATCAAAATAAATAAACAATAAACAGATAGAGACGGACTGGTAGAAATGCAGGG